TGACAAGCTCGGAGCCCTCCCCCTCTTGCTGCGCCCCTGCCCCCAGCATCCGGTGAAGTGCGGTCGCCAGCCAGACAGCACCACTCGCCCGAGTGACTAATGCTCGGGGCGACGTCCGAGGACGCCGCGAACCCATACCGTTACGCGGCCTCTTTGTTCCCTGACCTCTGACCCCAGCGGCGCCTCGGGCGGTGACGCGAACGGCTCAGCTGCCGCTCACCCGCGCCAGGACGCGCCAGAGTGCGGTTCGATGACCAACGCCCCGCTGCAGGCAGTTGCGACAGCTGAGCTGCATTGCGCGCGATAAGGTCTGCTGATGTCCGTACGTTGCCGGCGCATACGGGTGCGACCCCGCGCTGACCCGTGACCCGCGTAGCGGACCACCGGCGGCACTCCGCAGGGGGGGGGGGGGGGCGCCCCACGGCCGGATCAGTCTCCCCGATCACCAGAGTCGGCCAGCCGGGCGGCGCCTAACACCGGCGAGGCACGCCACGCCGCCATCACCCACCCAGTGAAAGTCGCGCCCGGGTGCGGCCCGTTACGACACCGGCCGGCCGGGCGCGGCGCGTGCACCCATGGGCTGAGAGCGCGCCGTCGGCCCCGTCGTCAAGAGCATTCGCCGCCTGGACCGCGTGAAGGGCTTATCAGGCGTTTTAAGGGTGCGTCCGTACCGGGGTAATGGTGGGAAGCACGAAGTGCGCGAAGTCGTCGCTGGCGAGCAGCGCGGTTCAGGAGAAAAGCTCCACTCCAGAGTCCGGGAAAACTAGCTCGGGACGCTCGCAGTACAATGGCGCGCAGAATGGCCACGCAGTCGACCCTGTTCAAACTCATCGACGAATAGCTTATCCGGTCGTTACCTGGCACCGAATGGTACCTCAACCTCACAAACAAAGAACAGAAGCCTCTATCATGTTCCCGTCCACTGGGAACCTGTAGCCGACCTCGGGCAAGCGACGGCCCTGAGACGTGACGGCGCCAAACTGCTTGGGGGGGGGGGGGGGCACGGGCTCCGTCCGGCGACGAGCCAGGGGACGGGGCGGCGCCTGGCGGGCGTCACGTGGCCCGACACGTGAGCGGAGGGCTCTCGGCCGCCAGAGCCGACAACTTGTCACGGCGGTAAGATGTCTGAAGTCGCCGGCGCGCAGACGGCGGCGGCGGAGGGGGGGGGGAGGGGAGGGGGGCAGGGAGTCCAGATGCTGACCAGCGATTGGTCCCGAGCGCACCGACGCCGACGTTGCCAGACACTGAAAACTCTGGCTGGACAGTTGTCAGCTAACTGTCACCACCGGTGAAATGTTCCGTCGCTGAAATATCTCGCTGGCTCCTGTGCCAACATGCCGTCAGACGACCGGGACACAGCCATCGTGTCGACTTATGCGCCGATAGCTCATGGACAGCTGCTTACCATCAGTCTGCGTAATGCACGGCAACAGAAAGTCAACGTTCACCGCCGCCGATGGGTTCGGCACAGCCCTCTCTCGGCCACGCTCTGCCGTTCCATCGCATGCCACTCATGCAACGGTGGCAGACGGCCATCGTTAACAGATCGCATGGAATGCCCGTGGGTTGCGTCCGCCCCGACAGCTCACTTGGTTAGAGCGCCGCCTTCAGGCCCACTGACTCGCGTCGGGATGGGTTCGAGTCGCTTTAAGCGCTCGCTGTTTGCCCAAGGCAGACATGACCTGCGGCGGCACTAGGGGCGGTTGACGTCAGCGAGCGGGAACGGACGGTGCTGAGCATAGCGGTACGTTAGGATTTCGCCACCGGACCTGGAAATGCACGGCCGGATAGCAGGGGCCCGGCTTCACATAGCAGGCACTGCCCAGCGTGAGCGCGGATCGTAAACATCCATCATTCAAAAACGTTCGGAGTACATTGTTTTTCTTTTAAGTGCACTGGATCGGTTCCGAGTCATGCAGGGTTCCACAACCGCGTTACTCGTGCATCGGTCTGTCACCGGCTAAGCAGAGCATTACCCAGGTTACAACTCCGCTGCTCGAATGCGCGTAGTTCAGAACCAATGTGTCGTCGGTTGGAAACACCCTCCCGGACAATTTTAGGCTCTCAGTTTCTTTCTTACTTTCTGACATTAAAACTCGCTGGCTTTCGTCGTAATTTCAGCCTCAATTCTTCTGTTCAGTAAATATGCTTCTCGATACACTCTCGCTTGATTACGCCGTCGTGCCTTGCACAACATTGACTGGAGCCAATTGATGGCCGTTATATCTGGAAATCATACCCACGAACTCCAGCTATGAACGCCTCGACCATTATATTTTTATCGGCCTTGATCGCCATATGGCTTATGGAATGACAGGATTTGAATAACGTTATCATGACGTCATGAATGCCAAAGTGACCTTAAAATACTCTCTCTATTTTTGCGGGCGTGTAGCTCAGAAACTAGAGGGATTTAGGTCTTAAAAGGACAGGGCTGTGAAACACCCGGACTGTGACAGGGCACCAAAACGCCTTCACGAGGGCTATTTCAGTTCAAAACCCCGCAGAAGTGCGGAACACTCCCTGTAAGAGTCACGGGTGATGGGCGACTCCTGCCGCGGCCCAGCGGCTACCAGCCACAGCACGCGTGTAGCACATTTCCCCGATCACATGGTAACATCCAGCCAGCCACATGGTCCGGGTTTCTCTGGGCCGTCCTTTCCCCGCGAGGCCGACAGGTGTTGGCGCTTCACAACGCATGGGAACAGCCGGTCCAGTGCACGCGCGTGTGCAGGCGAGGCCCGGCACTGCATGGCATGGCCCGACACATGATCAGCTGGCTTGGACGGCCGGGTGGGTCGGCGACTGGAGTTGGGGGAGTGAGGGAGTGTATGAAATGACATCCTGCATGCATTTGGTGCAAGACCTGTCCATTATAATCTTCAGTGGTTTGACATATGCGCGTACAAGTGGCAAGAAGGTGGTCACAGTCACCATACACCCGGCATCGCTCTGCCGAAGACTACCTACATATCCAGAATATCCGCAGACTACTTGAGCCGTCTCTGGGACTCGTCTGCGCTTCGTCTGCTGTCTGTGCTTCGTCATAAGTCCACATGGCTATATTCAACCCAGTCGCCTACACAAAAAATATCTGGACTTCATCCCCGCGCCAAAACACGTTCCCTGACATGTCCTGTTCCAAGAGCCCCAGACCTACCGGCCGGCAGCCAGACCACAGCCGTCGCCAACGCGTCTCCAACACCAGTGGCTGGGCGGTGCCAACATCCACCTGCACAGGCCACCCGGGGCGACCTCGTTCTCCGGCCGCCACTCGCACAGCCGGCGGCGACAGGCGGCGCAGACGGGTGGACGTCCGGCCCCGCTGGGCACGGGGCGGGAAGATAGAGCCCAGCCCGGGGCGGGAAGACGGAGCCCGGCCCGGGGCGCTGCGGCGCCGGCGGCGCTCCGCCTGCCCGCAGAAGCAGCACACTTTCCCGGGCGGTGGGCGCCCGGCCGCCGCTGGGCACGGGGCGGGAAGACAGAGCCCGGCCCGGGGCGGGAAGACAGAGCCCAGCCCGGGGCGCTGCGGCGCCGGCGGCGGCGGCGCTCCGCCTGTCCGCAGAAGCGGCACACTTTTCCCGGGCTGTGGGCGCCCGGCCGCCGCTGGGAAGCCCGCGCCCGCGGCGGCCGCCGCCGCCACCCACGCGCTGATGTCACCGGCTGGAGGCATGCCTGCCTGTTGTTACCGTACGCGCCCTCCCTCGCCTGCCATGATTGTCCACACAAAAAAAAATACTGGCAAGGGCGTCATGCTACGGTGGTCGGATTTCCCCGCAGCTTAGTGCCGTGTCACCGACAAACACTAATTTCCGTCGCGCTGGCAGCCAGCGTCCGTCTGAGAACACGCCAGGTTCCTGGCGCCGTCCCGGCGACGATGGAGACGGCGGGAGAGCGCGTGCACATACCCATCGGACCACGATAACGGCGCGATCGGGTTTCCCCAGCGGATTAGCCCAGCATCCTCGGCAAACACCGATAATGGCGGAGCGATGACGCTGGCCCACCGGGTCCGACCGATGATACGATCGATACGAGCCTTGAGAGATCGCCAGCTGCAAGTGCTCGGCTGTCCCAGTAAAAACAATCTTCAGTCGCATCAGATATGCTGCAGGTGTCCTGAGAGGGCCGGACGAACCAGCTTCCTTGGTGCCCAATGACGAAACGTTTATGTCCTGCGGTGGGATATTGGCATCGGTACGAAAGCATCGCCGCGCAAACAACACGATAACATTTATTTGAGAATGATACTTTTTCCAAGAATAGTTAACTGCACCACCCAAACGTGGAAATACGACCCAACACAATGCAACACAACACACCGGCTCTGATCCACCAGGTGCGCGAAATTTCACTGAAATGCGAAAAGATTATTTATTGTGATGTCACGCACCAGCGTTTTCATCATTTCCTTTTCGCCACGTGGTCTCTTTGCCAAGCTCGTGAGCCCCCGGCCAGACCAATCAAATCAGGCCATGCTGGATCGAGCCATGCCACTTCGGTACCACGATCGTTGTGACGCCGGCAACGCTAGCTTGGAAGACAAGACCAGTCCCGAGCCATACCTGACCACCGGACCGAAGACCATCAGCTACAGACCGCCTGGACAAAAACGGGCCGACCGACAGCCATCACCACGTGTCATCCAACTTCCCACCCGAGCCGAACCCGCAGGCGCTCCAGTTTCCCAGCACCCCTCTTCGCGTCGTCCCAGAGAAAACCGACTGCGGTCACCGGTGCCAGCCGCACAGCCCGCCTCAACACCACCGTCCCCGCCCATACGGCCGGGCGCGAGCCGGCCAGCCCACCGCGTGACCTGCCGCCGCGTCACAGCGTGCACGCCGGGCGTCACGGCCGTGACGCGGCCTCGCTACCGGCGCCGGTCACACGTGCGCCGCGCGCGCCGGCCGGCCGGCTGACCTCATTGCAAGCGGAGAGCAGGTGCCGGCCCGGTGCCGGCGGCGACGAGCAGCGCAACAAAGCGGCCCGCGCGCACCCACCTGACGTAGTTCTTGATGAACAGGTAGATGGCCATCATGTACTGCTGGTCGGTGACGTCCAGCGTAGGCCGCGGCAGCGCCGCCTCGGCGCCGAAGCCGCGGCCGGCCGCCACGCCGGACGACGTCCAGGCGGAGGTCATGTGCCCCGCACTGGTCGGTGGCGACGACTCTCCTGCCTGTCCGCACGCGCCCGCCCGCCCGCTCGCACCGCGTACTGTCCGCGCGCGCCCGGCCGCTCACTAGTCGTACAGCACGAAGATCAGGTACAGGGTCAGGAGCAGCCACGGGCACACCACGCACAGGTAGATTAACATTGGCGGTGCGGGCTCCGGCGACGGGACTTGCGCAGGCGCTGGCGGCGGCGGCGGCGGCGGCGCGGTTCTGCTGTGTTGAAGCGGCCGCCCTCGCGGCGACCTGCCGTCCGGCCGCACGGCACGCGTGACGTCACGCCCGCGACAGCCAATCAGCGCGCGCCGCCGTCGGCCGGGCTGAGGCCGGCCAAATAATGCTCCGGCCGGAGTCGAGCAACCGGCACGGATGGAAACAAAGGCACGTGGGAGCACACGGCCGCCGACGGTACTTGCAATGCCTGCCGCAGTTGCTGCTGAGAAATCGCGACAAATTAGCAGGCATCCGGTGTCGGTAAGCAGCGTTTTTACCTAAAACAATATCAAAAGTTATCCAGTGACGGGATATCTATTAAATCAAGCTGAAATTTCTGCCTGCTGGGTTTAATTCCTCACCCAGCTAGAGCCCAACTGCATCGCCCCACTTCCCTCGTCGATTGGATGTTCTATTCGCACCAATCGCTGCACCTGGAGACGTAATCTGAGACGCATTCTGGAGACGTAATCTGCTAACGAGCACCCATCCGTACCGCCACACCGCCTGTCGCCTGCCGCCCACGCCGGTGAACGGGCCACGTTCGCCCCGTGCGCCCTGCCGCATGTACGGCGGCAAGACATCGCCCGCCGCCAGGTGGACGGCAGGCGACGGCCACACCAGCCGGCTGCGTCGCATGTAAGCACCGGGGCGCGAGGGATCTGTCTGACGTCACCCGTCGATGCCTGTCTGATGTCACCCGTCCGTCCCTGTCTGACGTCACCCGTCCGTACCCGTCTGACGTCACTCGCCACCCACACGGAGCAGCGGCCGGCGCTCCCCTCGCATCCGAGAAATGACATCACGAGATTCGCTCTCTGACGCCTTCCTCAGGTTCGGCGCGCTCAGCCCGCCTCGCCGGCGCGCTCCGCCGAGTGAGGCCGTTGTCGCCGGTGCCGCCGCAGCTCATCGCTCGGCCGCGGCCCTCCCGAGGTCCGCGGTGACCGACAGCGTGCCGACCTGGCCCACCATCGCCGCCCACCGCCGGCGAACAGGAGCGCCGCCCGGTCCCGGACACGTGCGGCAGGCCGGCGCGCGGCGATAACGCGCTGGCCGCAGCGGCGCAGTGCCACATCGACCGCCCGCCGCCCCAGCAAACCAGGTGTATCCGGCACCGACCAGCACGCGGGCGCGAAAGCCGCCGGCCTCCGACCTCTGCATATGCAGAGGCTGCTCTCGAGTCTGGCGCTGAGGACATGACGGTTTTGTGTGCCCACTTGACAGTTCAGCAAGTCCCGCCATGCCAGCAGGAGGTCCGGGATGACCGAGAAGGATGCATCAGAGCATGATCGAGTCAGGGAGGAGACAGACAAGGCGTGCTGGAGACAATATATGCCCGGAAGAGGCTGCAGAAGGTCAACACCAAGGCTGATTGGTCGGCAGGAAACCCCGAATGATCCAGAGGAGGCCCATGATAAGATCGGAGGCCCAATGAGAAACACAGGAAACTCCGCTAGTTCAAGTGGAGGCCCCGATTACAAAGACGGGAGCCCCACCGGTGACTGCATTAAATTACGTATACCAAACTACGCACATCACTAACAGGTCCCTTCAAAAATGGCACGGAATCTCGGAGATTTTGTGTGGGGATAGGAGGCCCCCAAGTCTACTTAGGAGGACCCAAGCCTCGCATGCCCTGCATGGAAGAAGTCGGTGGCGCCGCCCCCGACTGTCACCGAACGTCGGCCGACAGTACAGTCGCGTGACTGACTATTCGTGCAGGGGATTCGACAACTTTCACTGCCGAGACTTTTGGCTGCGTGGGTCCCAGTTGGAGGACAACAACATGACCTTGAGCGGCGGGCTTCCACAGCAGCTAACCCCGTGAAACGTGCGAAAAGTCGCACCATGTGCTAACACGCTCAAATCGGGAATTCCTCACTGCTCAAATCGGTTTCAGGATCGGTAGAGAACCGTCAGCGGCAGCCGCATTTCAGCTCAACTAACCGATCGTTTTTTTTCAGCATTCCGCTTCCACGTTCTTTCAGCGGTCCCTGCCGATGACTTGGTTTCGAGGAACTTGCGGTAAAAGCGACCATCGCAACCAAAAACTCCGCCTCCGTCCTTTTTGCCGCCCGACGTCAGCGGAGACGGCTGGCTTTTCGCAGGGAAGCCCGACCCACGACGGCAGGCGATGGACAGCCGTCGACAGACCCAACCTCAATCTTTCAGACAAAGCCTCTGCTGGTCCAGAGACATTTTTTGACACAACAGGTCACGGGGCTGCAGGTCGGCCGACAAGGGACGGCTGAGCAGCCAGGCGGGTCCGCCAATGTCACGGGACGCTCCAGTCTCCGCCCCGTCACGCGATGTCACGGATGGATCAACGTCCCAGGCGGCCCGATGCTGAGCCTCTCTCCGCGCACTGTTACAATAGGCAGCGGCAGTTCTGAGTCGCTTCGGATCATGTCCTGCCTGCAGGCATCAGGCTGCCACCTGGTTCATAACACGCATCAGGTGTTTTCCAGCCACTTTCTTCTCAACTGGAGCACTGTTATGGAAAGCCAACCCCAGGACTACTACACAGATCACAGCTAAGGTACGCCGCCCAGCACCTACAAACCCCATCCCCAAGCACCAAATCGCCGCTATGGCATCTCTCTCTCTCTCTCCTCTCCTCTCCCTCCTCCCTCTCGCCTCTCTCCCTCTCCTCCCCCTCTCCCGCTCCTCTCCCTCTTCCCTCTCCGTCTACCCTCTCCCGCTCCCGCTTCCCTCTCCTCTCCTCTTCCCTCTCCCTCTCCTCCCTCTCCCTCCTCCTCTCCTCTCCCGCTCCTCTCACTCTCCCTCGCTCCGCTCCTCGCTCTCGTCTCTTCTCCCGTCACTCCTCTCGTCCTACCTCTCTCTCTCCTCCTCTCTCTCTCTCTCTCTCTCTCGGCTGCGACGCCGCCCGGGAGTCGGGCCGGGTGGTGGGGCAAGGCCGGTCGGGCCGGCGGCGGCCGTTGCGAAACCCGCTGACGCGCGCTGCTGAACGGGGCTGTTACGCAGCACGGCAAGGCGGTGCGGCGACGGTCCGAGACGCCGCGCGGTCTGGGGAGGCGAGGCGCCGCGAGGGGGAGGGGGAGGGGGCGATGCGAGGAGGCGTGGCCCTTGTCACAGCCGCACGAGCGCAGGCCAGACTCGTACAGTCACGCGCTGTGAAGACAAGTAGGACAGCTGCCGTTGTTCTTAAGATTCCCGCTGGCGTGTGCAAAATTTTGTACGTGTGGAACGCTTTAAGCAATAGCGCTGGTGGCATGATGAATGGAGAGCCTTCAAAACTACAAATGCATTGAGGGGGAGAGATCAAAGTCATTCGCGTCAGAAGTTGGTGGCGTGTCAAGCATGACGACCAGCATCGCATGGTACATCACACACGACCACTGACAAGCAATCGTAAATCCCCCACCCACACCGTAATCTGACCAGAGAACGGTCTGTGGCGTCTCATCGCGACCGCGCGGTCTCATCCTTCTGAGCGCCCGGAGCCGCGCCACGCCGGCGCTCAGACCACCGGGCGCACAAGGGCCACTTCGCCGAACGCCGCACACTTGAGCAAATCCGCCCCGGCGCATCGGCGTTCCGGGAAGCGCTGACGGCCGCCCGCGCCCTGCTACCACAGCGCGCCGGCGCGCGAGCCGTACGCGGCGCCGATGCCGTGGCCGCTAGCACGGCCGCGCGCGCCCGTGCAGGTCACCTTCGCCACGCGGAAATGCCCGCCGCGCGGCGGTAAACACTCGTAAACGCCGCCAGGTAATGAAGGTCGCTCGCCTCCGAGGGGGAAGCGGCGGCCAAAACAGCAGCAGGACGGCCCGGCGCCACGGCCGAAGCCGGAGGCGCCGCCGGTCGGCGGTTCCGCGTCGTGCACGGACGCTGAGCCGCGCCTGCCGCGACGGGCGGCCGAGACCGCGGCTCGACTTCGGCCGCGGCACGGACCGCGGCCGGCCGAGCGACGCGCCCGCTGTCATCAGGCGCCAGCCCGAGGCCGCGCGGCGCCGCTGCTCAGCCCGGCGGCGTGGCTCCGGCGCTGCAGCGCGCGGGCCGGCGCAGCGGCGTGCAACGGATGGGCGTCACTGGCCGCGTCACGGTCCCCGTCCCGCCCTGCTGGCTCGGCCGCCGTCAGCCCGCGCGCGTGGCCGGTGCCGCGGGCGTCCATTGCATGCCGGTGCGCCAGCGCAGCGCCCGGTCATGGCCGGCGACCGCGGCCGCGCTGGGAGTCCGCGGTCGCCGCCGAGCGGCTGTGCGAGGCGAAACGGCCGGCCGCGGCCGACAGGGCTCGCCTGCGGGCGCGAGCGGCGCGCTGGGGACGCGGCCCCGAGCCGTGGATGGCGGCAGTGCGGTGGCGTCAGAGAGGCTCGGAGGAGGAAGAGCACTGACGTCTCAATGTTCGAGGGAAGGACAGCGACGTCCCTGACGTTCGGAGGAGGAAGGGCGACACACAACGGTCCGGTCGACGCCAAGGCATGCAGCAGCGCTATTGTATTGGCGGGGAAGGTGCAAACAGCACGCCTTTTACGGTCTGGGCGCGGCGACGGCGGCGGGGGGGGGGGGGAGGGGGGCAAAGCCCGCTTCGCGGCGCCGCTGCTAGCCAAACTTCAGCGCGACGGTCCTCCATGCCCCAGACACCCGCCCCGGGGCGCAGCGCGCACTGGGCGCCGGCGCCAAACCCCCCAATTAGGACTCCACGCGGTGAGCGGTGGAGCGGCCGCGTCGCCGCCGCCGGTCGTGCCAAGCCCGGTGGGTCGGCGGGCGCGGGGTCGTGGCACGGGGCCACTTCGCGGGGGCGGCCGCACGGGGCCGCCAAAGCGCCCGTATTAGACGGCGGGGAGCCGCGTCCGGCAACAGAGCAGCCCTCCCCGCCATGCCAACCATACTCGGTGCCGACGGCCCGCCATCATCGGCTAGACCGACGCGTGCCGGGGTTCGACGACCCACGCGGACCGCACGCTATGGCTTCGGCGAAGTTCGGCACTTCGCACGGTCGGCACAGGGCCGGCGCGTCGATACTG